CATATAGAAAACAATACGACATAGGGCTTATTTTGTTTATAATAATAATTTATTTGGATATTCACTTTTGAATCAGTGACACAACCACAGGGGTAGTGCATCCTAACATTAACAACAAGAAAAAAATAAAATCAAAATGAAAGACATCAAAACAAGATAATCAATTTAGCTAAAACATATACTGTAGGTATATATATATATATATATAATATAGGCCACACATGTGTGTTTGAAACTAAATATAGGCCTAAGCATTTTCATTATGGCTTTATTACAAAAATTCTTCACCATCATTACATATTGAGGCTAACACTAAAAACCCTAAAAATTGTGCGCGAAGTGCGCAAAATTTTTTTTGTTTTTAATTCTAATTTCGTCGGAATTGATCAAAACTCTCTAAAATGTGCAATTTATAGAGGAAATTTGCCTATATTAACAGGAAATGCGCGCAAAATTTTAGACTTTTAGGCACTTTCAGGGGGGTGAAAAGGGCATCTTCAAGGGGTGGGGAAAGATTTTCCACAGATGGATATTTTCCCCTTGTCCCCCGGTGGTTACGCCACTGCGGAAAATATCTGGCGGCTGAGATCAAAGGAGCTATGGACACTTTGAAGTGGAGAAGGGGTTGCAGGGTGTTGTGAGTCTGGTCATTATATCTTTTTATTCTTGTCTTTTTATTTTTCTTCTCCTTTTTCCTTTTCTTTTCCCCTTCTTAGATACAGTATATGACGTGTTCTGAAGGATATATACATGTTTAGAATGCTCGGAAACAAATTATGAGTTCCTACACAAGATTTTTTTATGAAAAAAAAATCCCTGCCTATTAGTATTATTAATTAACAGAGAGTGAAGGTTTCTGTATTCTTTTGCATGATTCATTGGGTTTTTTTTTAGAACAGTTTGTATCAGTGAAAGCTATTTTACGTCCATTTGATTTTGATCGTTTTTTATAAAGCTAATCAATATTTAATTGTGTAGACACAGCCTAAACAGTACGTCTTATCATGTGTATAAAATGTGTGTAAAATTAGTGTTTATAATATATCTGCTTGCTTAATCTATGCCTATATTCATATTGAATATGAACGAAATGTTTGTAAGAAAACAATGAAACAATACATTTCTTTCCTCTTATTGAGAAATGCCTGTGTGTCCAAGCATTTCTAAACGTTTATATCCTTTAGAATCAGTAGTACTATAGCAGTTAATTATTGCTACCATTTACACTCTTCAATAATCGACCAGAAATTCAAAGTCCTTGATTCAACGCTGCCTTTTCATACTTTCAAAGACCATGTTGTACGTAAACACTGCCTAGGCATAGGGATATAATTACAATAATAGTCAATTACGGTAGTTCACTCTGTATCGAAACACTTTTCCTCTCGACCGACTACCAAGAGATTTTGGCCTACCCTAATTAGTACGTGTGATGTACCATAAAAAATAAAACTTAAAAACAATGGCCGTATTTGACTGGTCGTTCTTCGTTAAACCACGCTCACCGGTAAAATCCTACTCAACGAAGACGACCAGTCGAATAGAAAACTTGTAAATACTCGACAAAACAAAATGGCTGTATAGTTACCGCGATACACATTGCGTAATCAAGATTGCTTCAACTTGTGGTAATATGGTTTTTTTCGTAAAAAAAATATTTTCATCCAGTTTTTGAATTCTGTTTGCATACAATTATTTTTTAACTCCATGTGGCTAAGTATTATAATTTTTATTTTATGAAATTTAATCTAAGTTATGGTTATATTAATGCAAATGTTGTTTATAAACTCACCAATCGGCCATGTTTTTTTCTTTGGTCACGTGGATAACTTAACGCTGATTAACACACTCTGATTTACGTTAATTTTCGAAATCTATTTAACGAACCAGTCGAATGAAAATAATACTCAACGAAAATTCGTACTCAACGAAATGAACCAGTCGAATAACCCCATTGTCTTTGATGTATTCATTTTACTTTACCATGGTTGGTAAAATTTTTTTTTAATAGTACGCGGCTCGATGGCCAGAAATTACACTTTTATATAGTAAAATTCATTATCATCGATCTAATTAATTGTGTGATGTACCATAGAAAATAAAATATAGAAAACCAATCTTATCTTCACATGTCAAATTATAATAAAGGCGCGCGCACTCCAGTCGTGTATTGTAATTCAGATGATTTCTGTGTATATGCGGAATTTATAATAAATAAATAAATAAATACTGTTTCTTGTTATAAAACGTATTCAGGCTGTAGGGGTCTTTCGTTAAAACCTGGGTCATTTATGCAATTCATTTTAACAATTTTCAGGCATCTTCTAGGCTTATGAAATTACATAGCAGACGAAAAGTGAGGGGGACCAACTCTCACCCTTAAACATGTGGATTGGACATGTCCCTCTGTCCCCTATGATCTGCGCTCATGCAAGCATATTTGCTGAGGTGGTCTAGACATCCACCTGTTAAAGTCCCTATATTTTGAGATCCTGTATCCATCCGCCACTCTGCAATTCTTGAATTTTACGTGCCACCAATTTTCTTGATTAGATTAGAACCGGAATTAGAACAGCTGCTGAAACTGCACAGGTTGTTGTGCCACACCAATAATTTTGTATGAGCGCTGCTCTCGAATAAGCGCCACACTGAAGCCTCCAAAGATTTTATAAGTGCCGCGGCGCTTATTCGAGCATTTACGGTAAGAGAGTGTTCCACCGTGAATTCCATACTGTGTTAACTTTGATGTTGCTTTTAATTCAGTTTCGGCAAAACGGGTTTCGGCAAACTAGGATCGGCAAACTTGGTTTCACAATTAATGAGTTGGTAATTTGGTATTCAGCAAAGTGAACTCGGCAATCTAAAATTCGACAAATGCTGTTTCGGCAATCTGGCCTAGCCCTGTTAAAACAATTTTCAAGTGTTCAATATTCAGACAATCTCACATTTTAAATTGTTCTATAGGGTAAATCCAGGGTGAGAGGAATGGGTGGAGGAGAAAAGGGAAAATAGTATTGAAAACATTGCATGATACCTCTAAAGAAGCTGTAATTAGTGTGCAGTATCGACTTTATTTTACAGTACTCTATAATAGGGCCGGTATCTTGCATGTCACATGACCCCTGCCCAGAATTTTCTGCCTACCCATTATCTAGGTTCTGTTTGCGAGGATGCTTTGGCACCTACAGTAATCCCCAAAATGGTACTGTACTATTGCTGGGCAATGTTCACATCGTAGAAGGGGATTAAACTTCACTTTTTTTTTCATACAATCATAACATTCCAGAAAAGATTAACATGGCCAGAATTTTCCCAGAGGCATATCTAAGGGTTGGGCAACGAAAGTTCGCTCCCAGTATCCCCATTAGAACATTTCAAAGCAAAGAAATTACACTCACTTGCAACTTGTTGATTTTTATATACAGTATGTACAGTAGTTTTTTTAATAAAATAAAAGGGCCATGTATAAAATAGGTTGTTACACCGTCCTGATATGTTATGCTGTATAAATATGTTCAATAAATAAATAAATAAAATAATTATATAAATAGATACTGCACCAATGTTGTACCAAGCCCACAACAACTACCTTTAGATACTTTTCATAAACTAAATAATGTTGAAAGAAATAATGAAACATGAAGACATATATGAATATAACTATTTTTTTGTTTTATTGTATTGTAAATGTATCTTACCCAAACTTCAATACAAGGACTGCATAATACAATAACAAAAACAAAGAAAAGCACGAGTGAAGACAAACAATACAGATAATGTTTTTCAGAAAACAAAATTAAAGTTCGTAAGTGTTACATTGTGAGATTTTAAATAAACATCTGCAACAAAATATTAAACATTAAGATGCGTTATCTTCTGTATACAGTAATCACAATTATCCATCATGAAATGAGTATATTGGTATCAAGTGGAGTGTTCATGGAAACAATAGCAACAACCATACTATATAAATTATACTGTATAGAGAAGATGGGCTATATTACTTTACAATTACATACCTCAAATTTTACTAATTATGTATTTCATTTTTTGGCTATTATGTACAAAAAAATCCTTTTTCAAAAATTGAACAAAGGTTACACATACCTGTTTTCCTGCTCAGTTTACAGTAGGCAATATTTTTTTAATTTTTTGAAACAGATTTTGATATTTTTATAGATTTTAAAGTTTTTTTTGTATGTATTGATCTGATATCTTGTATCGCGTCTTTAATGACTTTACAGGCCAGTAATGGCATCTGGGTAGTTCCAACATTACTTATTTCTTACACAGGCATCAGTATTCGTACAACATAGAGAACCAGTGTTAATTTTACATTTTACATTTTTGTGTCCCATTTTCTTTCATATTTATATAACTTTTTTATTTATAGCTTCTTTGTTTTGTTACTTGAGAATTTTTGTCATATTTTACAGTATTTTTTTTTCATGAAATGCTTTTACATTTTTTTTGAAAATGTCCGATTTAAAAAAAATTTGTAACACAAAAGAGTTGTATACTAAGAAACACTCAAGTGTATTATTTTTTTTTGTTAACCAGCAGGTTGAGTTACTGTGCAATAGCGGCCAGAGCGTGTTTATTACGAGATTCCTTAGCTTGGTGAGCCTTCAACACAATCACAGCCTCGTCAACCTATAAAAAACCCAAAAACATCATTCAAACTGCAAATATACTTGTGGTCACCTTGCATTCTGCCAAGTTTAAAACCAAACACTATAGTACTACCACCAACATTAAAAACACAATTAAAAAAGCTTATATTGGACAAACAAAACTAAATCACACAATACCTTTGCGCTCAATGAGTCACGGGATTCCAATATGTGAAGCAACTCAGCGTTGTCAATCTCCAACAACATTCCAGTGATCTTACCAGCTAGGTCTCCATGGCTAGGTTGAATAATGTGGTATAATCGCTCACCCAACATCTGCCTCTGCTCCTGGGGGGTGGCCTGTGCCAGCCTGGATGGGGTTAGTGGCTCCTGCAAAGGAACTTGGACAGCTTGATGTGGAAAATCCTGATTAACAAAGACAAAATAGCATCCTATCGTTGTATATCATTACAGGGGTTGCGCCAGGAGTTCCCCGACAAGGGGTCCAAGCTCCCCAACAAGGCATCTACACCCCGACCCCGGTCGGGCAAGCCTAGACCCCCACCCCCGGTCGGGGAAAAAATTTAATTTGTCGGGAAATTTTTTTATTAAATAATATAAAAAATATGTGTTAATTATGGGATTCTATATTTAAAAAGGATGATTTGATTAAAAAAATGCAAGGTTGTCGAGAGTACTAGGGGGTACTAATCGCCTGTAGTGGAAGAGCTTGCGCCACTACTGCAATCTATACGATCGCAATTGTATACAAAACCCTGTACACATGGTAGCAGTGCCCGCACTAAACAGTTTTTAACTGGGGAGAGGTCCAGAGGTACATATTTCACTTGACGCTGTTGAGCTGATACAGATGGAAATGAAGTGATACAAACAGTTCTACAGATTTTAATTAATTTTTACTTTAATTAATTCATTCATTAATCATTTATAATTCAGGGTAAACTCTTTATAGTTTGTACAACTTACCACAGGAATTCCAGCAGACTGACTAGCAACAGTCTGATTGCGCACAGCATTAGCATACTTCACTTGGCGTTGTTGAGCTGGTACAGTTGGAATTCTTTGAATGGCGGGAACACGGATAGCAGACTGAGGAATCACTCCTATCAAAAAAGAAAAGTCACAATTAGTACAGGGCTGCATTAATATTTAAAAAAAAACTAATTATAATCTCCAAGAAGTAGTAATTGTATACTAGCCAGCTTGTTTTACTTATGTTTTGCAAACCTTAGGTAGCAATCAATGAAATGTGGATGCTGTTACTGGCTACCTACCTGTCACATGCTGCTGGTACTGCTGGCGAATAGGGACTCTAGCAGGATTGGCAGTGCGGATGGCTGGGTAGCCTCCTCTTGGAGCAAACTGACAAGTATTTGGCATGGGCTGGAAGCCTCCACTTGGTTGACCAGCTAATGGAAAAAATTACTGTACAAGATATATTCCTGGTTCTGAATTTTCAACTCCCAACTCAACCATTGCATTATACAAAATTTGCTATGAATTACCTAAAATATATAATTTTACAACTAGACAGATGTGTGTATGGTTGCAAAATTATTATAAAGGATGCCAGGGTCAATTTTTCCATTTACTTTTTTTTATTGGCAACAGAAATACATTTTTTTAAATTACAATCACTGTTTTATTAAAGATACAGTGTATAGAAAAACTGAGGAATGGACAATAACAATTTTTTTTACGTAACAGTGATAAATTACATGGGAATGGCACTACTTAAACAGCAAAAAGCTGAAGAATATTAAAATTAGGCAAATTAGAAATATGAAACATGACAAACCTGATCTTGGTTGGTTAGCACCAGTCCACCTTGGGTTTCTGATTTGTGTCATCTGCCCTGTTGGGTATAATCGTGCTTGTGGGGGGTAAACAGCTTGAGTAAAGTACCCAAACCCTGGGTTAAACACCTGGTTTATCTGTTGTGCATTCCCCTATTATAAAAGAAATCGGTTTATGTTGAAAATTGTATGCTGTATTTGTACAAAATGGGTTTGATCCAAAAAAACATAATTGACTATCTCATTTTTAGTAATACTAAAGGCTGCGCTCACTGTGCTTGCTTACCCTTGCGATTATTTTTGATAAAAAGTATATGACAACTAAAAGAAGATAGGTTGCAGGTTGCATGCTGCATGTTATCTCGTCAGGGGTGGCGCCAGTGGGAGGGCCGGGGGGCTGGCCTTCCCCCTGTCAGGGAGAAAAAGCACAATTCGTCGGGGAGAAAAAAAAATTATATGTATTTTCTACGTATTAGTAGACTATAAAATTGAATAAATAAGCCTTTGAAACCCCTAAATTGTCAAAATTTTCGGGTGCTTCGCCCCCAGGACCACCTTTCGAAACCTTTTAATCAAAGCTCGACCCCACCCACTTTGCTTTCGTCGGGGAAATCTGACCCCTCAATTAGCATTGAGTTTAAGTACAGGTTTTGATAGCAGTTTCATATAATTTTTCATAACATAAAAATATTATGAAACAGCAGTATTGTTAATTGGTATGGGGAAATATCCTGTATTTCCTCCATTATTTTCCTTGGAAAATGTTTTTGTTTGCACTAAAATTAACATGATTTGCAATAGATAGGCCTACAATACAACATATTCAGAGATCCCAAGTTTGAAAACCAAACCTTACGCGCTGTGCAACATGAAAGTATTACACAAAATGACGAAAACAAACAATTTTTATCAATTTGTTTACTTTTATTTAACAATTTTACATTTGTTTACACATTACAGTTGGCCTAAAATATAAATTTATAAATATTATTATTTATTTAGCATTTCGCTAGTAAAGCGTTCTTGGCAGCAGTCAACAAGGCTTTGCTTGGTTCTTTAGCATGTTAGAGGCTATGGCTGATTTATTACATCTCATCAAAGAACATAGAATTCTAGCAAGGTAACTGCAACTTGCAAGATTCACATGTTTTACTGAAAAATTAAAAAAATATATATATTTTAATTTAGTTAGTAAATCATATTACATGTTTTAAGTCAGCATTTATATGTCTAGCCTATAATAACTAGTACATAATGCCATGAAAAAAACATTAAATCCTGCCTCGCTAGGCTCCATCTATACGTGCGTAACTAGGCCTAATACCGCAGAGTCACAACCACCACTACACACAGACGCCCACCCAACATGATCCGGTGTGATACCACGGTAAAGGTAATTATTTTTCCCTTAATATCTAAAATCTGAAATATAGATTAATATTTACTTTGTGAGATCAAGACTTCATGATCTAAGTTGTTACAGTTTTCCAGACTGGTAGGTTTCGAATCCCAGACGTTTATTGAGTATCGATTTTTTACATTATGTGTATACTCTTTTAAATAAGCATAATTTTAATATAGATGCCATAAATTATATGTAACATTTTTGTCAGACTTCTTTGGTATACAATTTTAATTAAATGCCTAAACAGGTTTAATTTATCGTCCATTACCACATAACAACAGTAGACTATTGTGCAGAATGTGAGAATATATTGTTTATAATTTTTATATTATGCTACTTTTTTAAGTACTAAACTTCATTGTGATGTCTGTATATAAATATTTAATTATACAAATAAATACAGCGAAATTAAAGATAATTAAAATCTTACGGGAACTCTAATCCCTGCAATACGTTGCATGTGTTGGGCGGCCAGCTGTGCCTTACGCTCTTCTTTCCGCTGTGCTAGTGCTACATACAGAGGTTTAGTAGCAATGGTTCTTCCATTCATCTCAGTAACAGCCTTAGTTGCTTCTTCAGGGGACGAAAAACATACAAACCCAAATCCTTTTGAGATTCCCTTTTCATCAGTCATAACCTGTAGTTGTAGTAGATAAATAATTCTTTAAAAAACCTAGTTCTTTAAATTTAATTCACACAAGAAGGAATTTTTGCCGATAATAAAATAAAGCTATGTGAAGTCTTTATTAAACTCCTTATGGCTGAATAACTCAATGTTTATGTGCATTATGATGTTTAAACTAGCAAAGTTTTAGATGTGATCCCCATGAAAATGTTGTCCAGAAATCACTTTAGGATAACAAAAATTGTGCATGCATAGGGCACAGGGATTATATGTAGCACACACTCAAAGAAGATATGGAAAATCATTATTATTTGCAGTGCTTAAAACATTATAAATAGTAATAATAAAGTCTTGTATAGCACTAATATTTTCTAATAGATGTTCATTACTTATTTATACTTCTGGGTAAAGACACGCGTAGATACAGTGCCTTGTCGGAAGACATAAGCAATGTGACCATCATCATGCTTGAACTCTGAGTTTTGGTATGATCAAACCCTTAATATTATAACACGCTTCCATATTTACCAGTTGAGAGATTTAATAGTGTGTCATATATTTTTTTTTTTTTTTTAAATTATACATAACATTCAATATTCACTTCCATGTCTTTTAGGGAATAAACAAGGATATATCCACTGACAACTGTAATTTTACCTTTGCACTTGTAATAGTACCAAACTTTTCAAATTCTTTCTGCAACCGCTTGTCATCAATTTCATCATCAAGGTTCTTTAGGTAAAGGTTAACACCCTGAGAACGATTGTTTCTCTCTGCTTTCAGTTGTTCATATTTCTGTTTAAGCTCAGCTTGACGTTCTGCTTTCTTCTGTGCGCGTCCAACATACAAAGTACGACCATCCAAATGAAAATCGTTCAGATCCTGGGTGGCCTGTAACACAGAAATATTTTATATTTTTAACTTATAATTCATAAATCAGTAATTGTTGTGCTTACTGCTTGACATAGTTTTTTTCCACATTTCACTTGAATAACTGTACAAGTAGCATATTGACTTTTAGTTCTTTCTGGGACAGGTCTTATCTAGGCATATGGCATCATATTTCCTAGGTGTATTTTGGAAGACTGTTCATTTTCATCTTTAGCTTATGATGCAATATCCCATCATGCATGTCAGGTAGCATCATGCACGATAGCTAAGGGTATACTGACCCCCAATGGGGCAGAAGACACAAAAACCCATGGAACCTTATTATTGCTCAGTTGAAAATTGAAAAAAATCCATTAATGTATTTGGAATATTTGGTTTTTTACTAACTTTAACTAACACTTTTTATATATTAAGATATTAACTTTCAATAAAAAATTAATGTTGTTGTAAACACCTATCTTACACTCCAAGATAAGAAACTTAGTATACTGCTTTTTTTATGAAATTTATCATTCAAATCTGGCCTTAGGTACTGATATTCCCAACCACTAAGCATGTGGATACTGATTGCTCTTGATGTATGGAAAGATATACTGACTTCTTATAATTCCATTATTCTTGGGTTAATTAGTTATTGTCTGGCATGTTGGGGTGGAAATATTTCGCATGGCAATATGGACAGACTACAAAGGTTTGTCAATAAGTTTGAGAGCATTATCAGTTCAGTACCGCAGATGGTGCACTCGGTCTAATAAGTTCAATGACGTAATTGCTGACGAAAGTCATTTGTTACATTCGGCTATTGCTGGTTGCTTTATACAGCGCGGTGGTATACCAGCTGCAAACACAAATTTGCTCTTTGACAATAGACATGTTGGATAGTTTTTGTTTTTTTTTCCAATGAAAATATTGTGCTTTTCTTTCTTCTTTGAGAGTGAAAAAGAACAATGTAATTCGCAATTTGGATGAATAAAGAGATGTCAATGCCTATGTCATGTAAATGCTGATATTGTCGACCAATAAGCATTAGCTAAAAATATTTAAGGCAAAAATTTATCATCATTAATGCTCAGCCTTTTTCAGGAGTCGACAGTCCAGTAAGGTGTGATGCAGAATTGTTGATCAATGATAATGGATCAGACAGTATGGATAAAAGCTTCCATGTTGTCGGTCAACGAAAACCAGAATAGAAATCATCGCTATATTGATCAAAAATGCTTCTAAATAATTAATAAATATTTTTTGTACTGATATGAATACAAGAAACTATTCCTCTTTCACTTTTTGTCATCTATATTTTTGAATTCTACTTTTAGCTCTATTAGTACTCTGCTGATTCATTAATTAATAGATCTTTAACTGTTTACTCTTACTGTTTTATATTCGAGGTATATTTATTCATAAAAAAACATCAAAAATTGTTCATGGCAGCCAAAGGCTGAATTGATACAATTTTACAAAATTTAACATTCACATTTTTACATTAAAAGAAAAAAACCAGGGACCAATTAATTAATGAAAATAAAAAACCATCAAAGAAATGCAAGTACAGTACCAAATATAAAACAAAAATCCACAATTCCACAAAGCCAAAACTCTTAAATTAGTTTTTTAACAGTACAAGAAATACAGTAAATAAATAAGTAAAATAATTTAAGTGAAACAAAATGAGAAGTTTGAATAAAAAATAAAAAGAAGAAAATAAAACAAAGGTAAGGCAGATAAACACGATGTACTGGGTCATATGAAGAATGGAATGAAAAAAACACGAAATTAGGCCTGCTGGTTGTTTCCTGGTGCTTAAACGTCAAACGTCTTTTTTGTATGGGTAGCCGTTAGAGCCAATATAATCTACTGCTTCTATTATACTGCCCTCATTGGAGCTTTCGAGATTACGAGTACTTGTTTAATATTACACATAAAGTATCTTATTCAGTTGACTGCATTCCACTACTTTAAATGTTCAACAAGCCAGTGGTGTAGCTAGAGGTATGCACGCCCCTTCAAAAATTACTTGTGTCCCCCCCCCAGTCGCCCCACCCCCATGAAAAATCACTTGCACATAGTTAAAAATCACCTTATTTTGTGAGTTGCATCATTTTGCATTTTGATATGAGATATGAAGTAATTTATAAAATGTTATTGAATTAAATATTATTGGAATGTCTGTAATATTGTTAATAGTCTTTACATTATATTCATGCCGGGCCTTGGACCAACAACTCATGTTGGCCGAAGGGATTTATCAAGTCTTGGCTTATTAAAGTTGTACTGAGCCGGGGTGGCGCCAGCAGGGCCGATTAAATAAGCCTTTGCATCCCCTAAATTGTCATATCTTTCTTAGCTTTGCCCCCTGGAACACTTTCGAAAAATTTTAAGCAACGTTCGACTACGCTCACTTTTTTCATTGGAGACATCGCCCTCCCCCAATCCCCTGTCAGGGAACATTGGACCCCCGTCGGGCAAATCCTGGCGCCACCACTGTACTGTGCTCATTATTGAGAACGAAAGTTTGTAAGTGATTTTGATGGGAATCGAACCACGATAACTAGCCAGGTGTCTTAGCCAGTGGCAGTGCCAGCGGGGGCAGGGGGCTTAAGCCCCCCATCAGTTTGGTCAAGCGCCCCCACCCCCCCAACGGCCAAAGCTCGTAGGGCAGCCGGACCAAAAAAAAAAAAAATAGGCCTAGTTTTCCCATCACAGCCACTTCCGGCCATCTAGAAGTCCCAATTTTTTTATAAATCTTGTTTTGAGAGGAGGGGACACCCCCTCCATACCCACCTCTGGCTCGGCCATTCAGCTCTCAGATAACGCTGCGCACTATAGTTACACCCATAAATACTTAGCCCCCCCCCCCAATCGTCGGACATCTTAGTCCACTGGTCTTAGCCACCAAGCTGGCACTTAGTGGCTAGTGTTGAAAAGGTTACTGCAATACTTTTTTGATAAGGGGGTTTAAAGCTGAGAGAGGTATTGTTCCTGCTCCTTGTGCTGTAAACCACGGTTAAAACCTGGCCAGTGTCATCCGATTGCTTGGCTCCTCAATTATCTCTCATATTGAGAGCAGTGGCGGCACCAGCGGGGGGCAGAGGGGCTTGAACGCCGCCAATCAGTCTGGTCAAGCCCCCCCATCGGCCAAAGCTTGTCGGGCAGTATGACCAAAAAAAATTTATAAAAAAATCTTGTTTGGGAAGGAGTGGACACCCTCTTTCACATCCACTCCCGGCTCCGGCCCTCAGATAACGCTGCGCGCTATAGTTACACCCATAAATACTCATCAGAATTAGCATAAGTTACAGTAGTAGCATTATGCTATGTTGGGAACCAAGCAAAGCGGTCTGCAACAGCAGCAAGGAATCTTTAACTGAAGTGTTCCCTGTTTGTCTACCTTAAGATTTAGACATGGATAATAAAAACACAAAGGCCAAGCCAGGACAGGAGCTTGAGTTTTAATTTTAGTATTTAATGGCTCCATGAAAACTTCTGAAGAAATCCATTATTTTTCTTTTAATAACTTATGACAATATTTTTTCTCAAGACTATATATTTTCAGTGGCTAAATTTATTATTATACTTATTTGCCTCAAGTTTCTAGGCATAAATAAATTATAAAAAGAGTATTCTGTATACTGTATTTGTATAATGTATCTACCTTAGAAGACAAGATGTTACCAAAAGCAGAAAATATATCATGAAGAGCTTTGTCATCGATTGATTTGTCCAGGTTCTTTATGAAAACATTACCCTTGCCGGTACGACGCAAAGTTGGATCACGCTGAGACCACGCAATATGGATAGGATGACCATTGATGACATCAAAGTTCATAGTTTCAATTGCTCTTTCAGCTTTGAAAAAATGGTTTGAACTACTTAGCCATGAAGAATATTAAAATGCATTATAGCCATATATCCGGCTTATATAAGATAAACAAATAAAAATACAGAGTTGAAAAAGTTTAAACTTTAAACTTAAACTTGTTTGGTCATTTAGAACATATGTTACCATTCTAATATTTGAAAAAAAGGGGGAAATTTGAGGGTTGGGCTGCTGGGCAGGACAAGGGAACACAACTCACAAAAGCAGAATAAAGAAGTCCACCCTCCTCTGCCAACCTACAGTTTAATTTCCAAGTATATAAATATTTTTATATATTTCAATGAGTTGCTATTACCACCACAAAATAGGATATGAAAAATAAGACAAAAGTATTAGATTATCAATCATTTTGTTGAATGTCGGAGGCTTTTTTAAATTATAAATTTAAAAACAAGAGCAGCAATTTTCAACTAAATTGGGATATTCAACAGTTAAATAGTGTATACCCATTTTTTCACTGGCTTGGTAGTTTAATTATGATTTCAACCCAGGCCTTGATTATTATACCAATAAGTGAATTTGGATGGACTTGCCAAGGAGGTTATTTTTAATCCCCCTTAACTTCCTACGTATGTACTGTAACGTGAAAATACTGAAATAAAAAGCGGGTTCACTCTCAGTCACTCTACACTAGATGAATGGAAATCTTCATAGAAAAAGTCATGACTCAGAATAAAAAAGAACCTACCGTCTTCAGCATGCAGAAAATTAACATAGGCGTAGCCAAGAGGATGTTTGGTGTTGGCACGACATACATTTACAGACAATACAGGCCCAGCTGTTGAGAACTTTTCAAATAGCATAACTTCTGTAACATCAGGATTCAAATCTCCAACATACAGCGAGGCACATGAGTTTGAGGCATGACCAGTCATTTTGATAGCGTTTTGACTTTTAAGAATTTTGAAAATAAACTTGTTTGATGAGATGACCTTTACAAAACAGATATTTACTTTCTCCTTTTATACCTCTGGTATTCAAATATCATCTTCAAATATATTTTTTGTAGATTCAAACCTCCATAATCACATTAAATCTATACATGAAAACAGAAAGTGGAATGGAAATAATTGGCGATTTTTTAATTATTAATTTTAAGATTATCACAGCATCACGCACACTCGCTACTTTTACTAAAGTTCTGTCCAGACTATCAAATTTTATTGACACAAATATGTCTTGATGACCATATATAGGCACAACATGACCATATGTATGCACATCATGACTTTATATGGGCATACAACAGTTGTTTGTCAAAGAAAATCTGAATATCTGGACAGAGCATTATCAAAAGTAGTGAGTGTGCAAGACAGGGAGTAGGATATTTTGAAGCCACCATTAAAAAGTAGACCAATCAGAACTAGAAGATCAGAAATGTCAAGGGTCTCACACTGGCTTGCTTGAGATTTCTTCTAGATTTGCTTGAGGTTAGACATTTTTTGAAAATCATGCAGGAGGTCACGAACCTTAAGGAAAATACAGTAAAGCGTTGATATAACATAACACTTCATAGTGAATACATTGATACAAAGTGCCACTTTGATATCCCATTTTTTTGCATCAGTTTCTGCTGAGGAAGCGGTTTGGCACAGCGGGAACGGGTTTGGTTTCCCAACCTCGAGGTTGGGGTTTCAATCTCTGGCTGTGCATTTCGCTTGTGTCCTTGAGCAAGACACTTTATCTGCATTGCTTCTCTCCACCCAGGAGTATAAATGGGAACCTGGTAGGGTTACCTGTTCCTGCGCTGATTACCAGCAGCAACACTTAGCATGTGGACCCAATGACCAAGGAAAAGAACTGCGCTTTATAACCAGAAGAGGCGCATTATAAATGACCGTACCAATACCAATAAGGCCGCGTCAAACACTGTGACTATTGCTATGGGATCGCTAGCGCCGATAGTCGTGTTTGTACATGTTGTACAGTATGTTTGTTCTGAGAAAATAGCACATTAAAAAAATATAATTTGAAGAAATTCTGGAATGCGCGAGAATATATAGGCCTTGCTTGAGGGCGTGTTGAAGTTAATTGCACGAGACTCCTACGAGATGCGTGAGACTTAATTGACAGGTGTGGAAGATTGTTCAGCTGTGGTGGGAACCAGGCCAACAAGGCATGTCATGTGGAATTGTCGCAAAGTAGCCTTGGAATGATATTTGCATGTGGCACATTGTAAATACGCGGCCATGTGACGGTTGTACAGCACAGCTCAGATCCAGTGACGGGTAATTTGTCTGTTCGCCACAGTCCATTGCCACATTGTTGGGTCAGACTTCAGATATTAAAGCCCCATTCCCGGCAAAATTTCAGTTTTTAAGAAAAATCTAATTTTTGTAGTTGTTATAAAGATTTATAAATATAATACGGAATTGCTAGTTTAACTGAATTTAGACATTCCTAAGAATGAAAAAAATGTAAAATAAGACTGAAATTTGATTTTTTGTGTGGAACACAAAAAATAAATGCGGATGAATTTTTTATTTTGATTTTGCGATAGGTTGTGAGAAGATATATCGTAGGCGCCGAAAACATTAGCCTATCCAGCGTTGCTAGGCTAGGCCTAGCCTTACCTCGATTTAGGTTCTGTTATCACACAAAAAAACGGCCGACATGATATTTTCCGTTGCTAGTATTGACACCTGTGAAATATAATATTTCATAGGAATTATTTCAAATTTGTTAAAAAACTGATTCTGACTGAGATTTTGACACTTAAACAAACATCTCAGCCTTAATCGAACAACCGCATTGTGCGAGATACGAAGTACAAAAACTAATCTCATTAGAGAGGGCGCAATTTATTGACTGTATAAAAGTATACATAAAAGTGAGAGTATTCCAATGGATGCGATCTACAACCTCTGAATTTGCCTAGTAACGATGAATTCGTCCAGAAAATGGTAATATTTTATGAGAAATAGTCTGTATTTCTCATTTCTTTTATTCTTTTGCATAAAACTAAAATTCATGCCAATATTTTTCCATGATTTATAATAATTGGAGTAATGCAAATGCATATTTTCTAAAAAAAGTCAGTTTTTAGTGAAATGTTGCCGGGAATGGGGCTTTAATTTGCTGTCTAAACCAAGTTATTATGACTACGACTCCCCAGCACCTAATAATATGTGGTGTCTAAAAGCACAATTTTGGACCATCCATAAAATCTCTCCTCATGAACCCCACCAGGAGTCTGTGACCCTGACCAAGGCACTAAGCAGCCTCTTGGTTCAGACCCTGTCTCTTATACACATCTAGATGTGTATAAGAGACAGGGCACAACATGACCATATGTATGCACATCATGACTTTATATGGGCATACAACAGTTGTTTGTCAAAGAAAATCTGAATATCTGGACAGAGCATTATCAAAAGTAGTGAGTGTGCAAGACAGGGAGTAGGATATTTTGAAGCCACCATTAAAAAGTAGACCAATCAGAACTAGAAGATCAGAAATGTCAAGGGTCTCACACTGGCTTGCTTGAGATTTCTTCTAGATTTGCTTGAGGTTAGACATTTTTTGAAAATCATGCAGGAGGTCACGAACCTTAAGGAAAATACAGTAAAGCATTGATATAACATAACACTTCATAGTGAATACATTGATAC